CCCCTTGACTCTCATCCCCTGATCCATTAGCAAGACTAGCTTGCTTGCTGTTCTGTAAGTACAGCCTGCATGTCCCTGTCCACATAGAAAGCCAAGAGTGGCCTGGCTTTCCACTTCCGGCCAAGAGGACAAGGGAAGGTAAGGAGCCCAGGCTGTGCTTTGGAGCACGTGGCCTGCCCACCGGGAATCTTCTTGGCCCCACACCACCTTAGTTATTTGCTCCCAAAATAAAGCACTAAAACCCAGTAAAATGCTGCAGTAAATACATGTAAAGAAGCCATGAGTGTTGACATGACAACCCGCTTCTTTCTTGCCAGCAAGGGTCTGAGAAAGCTCCTTAGACCAGTAATCAAAGGTGCACACAGGCGGACAGCTGTTTACCCCTCCCACAGGCTCATGTTCCCCCTGTATATTTACGACTTACTCCCACATTTGGACACTTTGAAGAAAGAATCAAGTGTAGTGGAGGCCACCCCTCAAAAACCCAAGCCTACCTAAACCCTGGCCCGCGATAGGTGAGTTATGGTGCCAAACTCATCCTATTTCATGGCTGCCCCCACTGCTTGCCACTGCCCTGCATGGAACAAAGGGTCCAATTTAATAGGAAAGCAGCAGGAAAATGAGTTTTTGAAATCCACTTAAAATTCAGGGGCCCTGCAGTCTTCAGCTGGGCTCATATATCAGCAGTCACAATGCCTGTATTTTTCAAAACACAGAGACAGGCTCATAAGTGCTCACAATACCGGCTGCCTGGTAAGAACCTAAAGTCGGTGGGGGTGGGGGGTTGATCTGTCAGGTGGGCCAGACTACCAGGTGGAAGGGACCAAGGGTCACGGGGGAAGGTGGGTGTCAAAGGTGAGCAGGAGACACCATTTGGCTGAAGCTCCCTATTGGTCAAAGTTCTCACATTTGGACTTCAGACATCATCTCTAAATGGGACTGGAGACAGTTGAAAAGGTTCCACAATGAAACTAAAAGAAGATATTTATCATATAACTTGAAATCCTCAAATAGGCTTCTAACAACTGTGGCCTTTTTTGTTTTTTATAATCCCAGATGCCTGATGGAACACACTGTGGTGTTTGAGAGGAAGGCCTCAGAAGGCAAAAAGCATGGAGCTCTAATCCTCGACTTGCTCCTTGCTGATGGCCCTTGGCTAACAAGCAGCAGCACCGCCTTTCCTCCGGGAGGTGCAAACAAGTTCGAGTCTGCCTCTCAGGATGGCCGTCAGGATTAAACAAGATTATGTATGAAAAGTGCTTAGTGCACTGGTGAATAAATTTAAATGATCAATTAATGCTTGTCCATTTTATTCATTATGAAGGGAGAAGGAAGGGCATTTAACACTCAACATCCCTCATATGTTCAAATAATAACAAATAGGGAT